ATGTATATATATGTATATTAAATTGGAAACATCATGACACGTAAGTTGAAGGAGGCATATTTGATAGCATTTGAAATGTTTAGGTTACAATTAAGTGAAAAATATAAATTGGGGATAATGTCTTGGGAACGCTTAAAAGGATGAGTCCTTTTCTTCCCCTGATTATTCTTTTGTTTTTGCACTTTTGGGCTTCCCCCTAATTATCCTCTTTCTCTCTTTCTTTTGCGTGCCACTATTGTTATTTATTTTTTGGCCCCATGCCGCTGTTGTTAAATGAAAGACATTTTCAATTTTCACAGTTACAGACTTTTCATGTTTTCTTCATAAGCCAAATTTACTTTCTGTTCCAATTACGTTCACGCGGTTTCCCCTTCCCCCTAACTCCCTACTTACTCTTTTTTATTTTGCCGGTAATCTTAACTGAAAATTTGTAACCTTGATTAAGTATTTATTATGAAGAACTCAAAGGTATGATGTAGCTACCTGTCAAAGTTGGACTGTTTCCCCATAAAAATATCCTTAAAAAACCCAATAAAAGCGGAAAGGAAAAAAAAAAGTTTTAAATGGTGTGTGGCATATATATATATATATATATATAGAGGTTTGAGATCTCAATTAATCATTTGAATTAATTAAACGAAACAAAAATATGTGAATAATAGATAATTACAATTATTAACTATTAAGTATTTATTATTTGTTGTATTTAAATTGTTAATCTAAACATCTATTATTCTAAATTTATGCCAAGTCAATATACTTTGAGAAAAATGAAAATTAAGATATCTTGGTACTTTAGATATCAATATTTTTTTTATAAAATTATTCAAATATTTTTAATAAATCTTTTTGTATGTTGATTTAGTAATGGTATTTTAGTCTTTTCCTTATCAATCCTGGTATTTTATTTGTTTTAACAGTTAAAGATGGAGCTCTCAACTTAGAACTAAAAAAGTAGTGGTGAGAAATTAGAGATTCAAATTTTTATGATACTAAATAGCTAATCCTCTAATATACTACCAAAAAAAAAAAAAAGAGAGCCAGAGTGCTAACCTTACTCTATAATTTATTCTCAAGTTTACAAAGAGCAGAAAATTATTATACAGTTTGAATTGTATAATTAAAATTATATAATGAATATAATGAAGGGTCATCTCTCAGATATTTGGGGCTGCCTTCCCCTCATTTAACTATTTCTATTTTATAGTAAAATATAGTTCAAATTACAAAACATAATTGTTTATAAAGAAAGTATAGTTGTATGTATTTTATTTTGGGTTTTTCTAAGATGTAAGTTAAGAATATAATAAATACATTTTTTTATATTAAATTATATACAAAATGTAAAAATTAACTTTAATTTCACTAATGCTATGTTGATTATTTTAATTCAACAATTGATTAAATAAAAATTAACTTATATTTTTATAATGCTAATTAATTTCAAAAACTTTATTAATTGTATTTTTTATATAGGTAAATAGGAATTGTATTCACAATATAAATTTCTTGAACAACTTATACAAAATGATTTCATTAGGGATAACAGATCATACTACAAGTGTTTGCATCCATTTTTACTCGAATTATTACAATGAGATTTTTACATAATATAATAAAACAATGAAATACATGAAAAATTTTCAAACCTTGATTAAGTATTCATAAGGGATTTATATTTTATACTTTATATAATTTGAACTTAATAGTTAAATTCACTGATAAATAATACTGTCTTGTGTTTTAAGTTCAATTTTGAAGTCTTTAAAGTGGTATAAAAACTTAATTTCTCTAAATATACACATTGATATATGCATGTACTTGGAAGATATCTTTGTAACAGAATAGTCTTTGACATACTTAAAAACTACCAGTACTAGTAGTAATTATTAGTACTATAATAAAGAAGTAGGCCCTAATAAAATTGACAAAATATACTACTAGTAGAAGCTTCTTCCCAACAAATTTCATTTAAAAACTTCAACAAATTTGATCTGTTTATCCCTACTTAGGCTTTGTAGCTTTTGATATTTTATTAATGGAATTTGCCGATTTCTTATTAAAAAAAAAAAAAAAACTTCAAACTTAATATTGAAACCGTCTTATTTGATTTTTAAAACCGAAGACGATCAATTAAAAAAAAATCATTTCCTGTTATGTATTGTGACTGAGAAAATACTGTTTTATAGTTTGTTAGTAGAAATTGTATTTTTTATACTCTGACAATAAATAACAAAAAGGAAAAAAAAAAAAAGAAAAAAGAAAAAAGAGAAGTAGTACGTAATTTGTGATCGAAAGAGATAGATTGTCCCCACATAGATTATCATTATCATTTAAACAATAGGAGCAAGTTTTTTCTCGTACGTGGTAATCAGACTTATTCAATTCGAAATTTTCCTAAAAACAGAAGAAGAGACCTCTTCAATTTTACTTGCCTTTTCAATCCCGTTCGCCCTTCTTCTTTCCTTACCCTCTTTCACCCACCTGCTCTTTCCAGAACCATCCCTGTTCCAACTTCCAAGAGGATATATTTGATATTTTCCTAGTTCCCTGTCAGTTGTTTGTTTTGCAGGAAAGTTGATTCCTTTTTCCATTTTCAGTTAGAAAGTCTTCATGATCCCAGTGAAGAACTCAAACCCATTTTTGTCAGAAAACCGTGGGTCTCTGTTTAGAGCAAGAAAAGCCATGAAAAATTGAGTAAAGCAAAAAAATTTTCCTTCGCTCTCTATCTCTCTCTCTCGGACTTTCCTTTTTGCCCTCTAAATTCGCGTCGTGTTTTCTGCTGGATTACGCGGGGTTTTAAGTGGGTTTTGATTTAGCTTTAAGAATTAACCGTTGAAATGGAGATGGAAAGCACTTTCTTCAATGTTGATCAAAGCATAGTTGTTTTGAGTTTTCTTAACGCTTAGAGAAAAGGGGAAACAGAAAACAAATTTGGGAAACTCTCTTTCTTTAGCGTCTTGTTTCAGTTTCTTTAGTTTCTTCAGTTCCGGAAAACCTAAATTTGCCGGCAACTCTCCGGTGACTGGAAAGCTATTGTATTTAACAACATTGTTAACTACCCTCACACTTTGTTTGGACAGGGAGAAACAGAGATTTTTTCCTTAAATTTAGCAGTCTAATTGTCGAAAAATAGAACTTTTTTGAGACAATTTTGCAATTTCCTTTTAGCAAATCAAATCCCGACAATCCCTCTCTCTCCCTCTGTCCTCCCCTGCTTCCCCCTTTCTGTTTTCTTGGGTTCCCTCTGTTTGCAGGGTTAGGGCAGAGAGAAACTGAAACTCTCTCTTCTCTCATCTCTCTTGCGGGAATCATGATTTTTGATAGTGGATCAAAGCAATCGAACCTTGACTGCTTTCTCCATTGCACAACCCCTGTAGTCAAATCGCAATTCCTCCCCAAGGTTTGCTCCTTCTTCATTCTTCATCTCAATATCTGTTTTAATTTTCATTTTGATTATGGGTTCTTGGTTTGATTTCATGTTGATGATGTTTTTGCAGAATGAGATTAGAAACCTTAATCGGCTATGGCACCCAGGGGGGAGAGAAAAAGTTGAATATTTCACATTGGGTGATCTTTGGAATTGTTATGATGAATGGAGTGCATACGGCGCCGGAGTCCCCATTGTTTTGAACAACGGCGAAACCTTGGTGCAGTACTATGTGCCTTATCTCTCTGCCATCCAAATCTTCACCAGCCATTCTTCAGTCCATAGCTTAAGGTATTCACAATTTCCCCTTTTTGCAATGACTTCATTTCAAAGATTTCAATCGTTTTTCCTTTTGATTGTCTTCGAATCCCTCATCAATCAGATGTAATTTGATTGATATGATATTAATAGCTAATAGCTATAGATTATTTGATTTCTAAGATGGAGTAATTATGTTCTCTATTTTTTTTTTTTTTTAATGGTAGTTAGTTAGAGCATGTTTAATGGGTGATATTGAAATTTTTACAGGGAAGAGACAGAGTCTGGTGATGGGGAGATAAGGGACTCTCTTAGTGATTCGTATAGTGATGAGAGTGAATGTGACAAGCTGTGTAGATGGGATGGATCATCCTCCGAGGACGGGGGCTCTGAGCAAGATTGCCTCTGGCATGTAAATGAAAGGTTGGGATACCTTTACTTCCAGTACTTTGAAAGATCAACTCCTTATGGAAGAGTTCCTCTCATGGATAAGGTACTTTTAATTTTTTTTTTTTTTTTTACTTGGTAATCTTTTTGTTCAAGCCTTGTTAATTGCAATGTTTCTGTTTACTTCCATTTGCATTTTTCTGCTTCTTACTTTTCTTGTTAGTTTGAATGATGAAAACAAAGCAACAGATGAGAAATTGGGAATCAAGATAAACATCTTGGGATTTGTAAGAACCATTAGATATCATTTTCATTATAAGCATCTAATAAAGATTGTATGAACCTTTTGACTCAGAATGTGAAATTCTATACTTTTCTCTGCATAAGTTCTTGTTTGTGCTATCTTCATTTCTCTTTGCATCTCTTGTCTCTTCTTGCTCTAACAAAAATAATTTAAGTTCATCTTTTTTGTTTTTTGAGGGTCTTAATAAATTTAGAATCCTCCATGACTCATGAGAATAAGTTTTGCCTTTCATCTGATGCTGCTGTCTAGAATTGGTATTTGGACTAAGAATATGTGTTGCCATTCAGCATATGTGGTTTTAAAGTTAGGTACCACTGTGACCGTATTCTTCAGGTCCCTTTACGATATGAAGCATATAGATTCCATTGACAAATTATTGCTACTTTCTTTTGCAGATTAATGGATTATCTCAAAGATTCCCAGGTTTGATGTCTTTGAGAAGTGTAGATCTTTCACCAGCTAGTTGGATGGCAGTGGCTTGGTATGTTTCTTGGAATTCTGTTTTCTATTCAGTATTTGGCTATTAGGCTTTCTGTAGAATTAATTACATACCACTATTTGAGTATCACTCAATAATTTTTGCATTTGAGGTTGTATTAGTATTATTACCATGTTAATTTGATGAAGATACCAGTGATTGTTACTGTGTGATTTGATTCAAATGATGGATGATCAGGTATCCTATTTATCACATACCCATGGGAAGGACCATAAAGGACCTGTCAACATGCTTCCTCACTTACCACACTCTTTCATCATCTTTCCAGGGTATGATCTTGATGAATTCCATTCATCTTCTTCCCCTCTTAAATATCATTCAAAGTCTGATGTTTATGGTTATATGCAAATATGGACCTGGAAGATGACATTGATAGTGCTGGGAGGAAGCGAAAGGAAGGGGAAGACATTGCTCTGCCACCATTTGGCCTGGCCACTTACAAGATGCAAGGAAATGTGTGGGTCTCAGGCAACTATGGTCGGGACCAAGATAGGCTGGGGTCGCTATTAAGCGTGGCAGATTCTTGGCTAAAGCAGTTGAGGGTCCAGCACCATGACTTCAACTACTTCATGGGGATTCGACGTGGCTAGAAACCACACCCGAGAATTGTCTGTGAGAACCCAAAGTGATTTGATCACCATAAGAAGCCTAAGAAAAAAAAAAAAAATCCTACTTTTGGATTTTTTTTCTTGAGCGTGTGAGCATAAAGCAGGACTAAAGGAGCATTGCTGTTGATACTTGTCATTGATCAGCTGTTTTGAGGCCTTCCCTCTCTGGGGTTTCAACAGATGGTATGAGTTTTTTATTTTACCCTAGGTCTTGCAGCTGATTGAGGGTTGATATCCTTTGTTTCAAAATAAATTGGTGAGGTCTGAGATGTACAGAAGAGAGGCTATGAAACATTGGGACACTTTCTCTCGTTTGTAGGTTTTTGACCATTAAAGTCGCGCATCTCTTTATCAGTTTGGTTGATTTAAGGAAAATAAATTTCCTTGAGTACTACCATCTCCAAGACTTGAACTAGAGGTGGAAAGGCATTCTTGAATGGTTAGATATAGGAACTATTACATGTTTGTCAATTGGGTCTCTAAAAAAATTAAGAGGACAAACTCTTTAAAATAATATTGTTTCATTAAATTACCACAGAGAAGGAATAAAAGGAATTCAATTTTAGCTTGAAAATTAGTTATTTAAGTTTTTTTGTATAAGAGTTTTATTAAAATGATATAGTTTTTAGTTTTTTTTTTTCTTAATTTTTTAGAAGATTGGTTGACAAATATACACATATATATAAGAATAAAGATTTATTTATATATAAGTTTTATATATCACATCTATGTAAAGTTTTAATCATTTGTCATTTTATTTTTAATGATTAAATTTTATTCATATTTATTAAAAATAATTTTTATTTAAAAAATTATGATAAATTTTAATTATTGAAAGTAAAAAAAAATGATTAAAATTTTATATAAATATAATGTATAAAATTTGTGTGTAATGATTCTTTTTAGTATATAAGCCTCCTTAAATTTCAAGTTTCAGGTTTGTTTTTGTCCGTCAAGCAGGTTTCAGTTAAAAAAGCAAAAAAAAAAAAGAAAAAAGAAAAAAAAGAGAGCCCTAAAACGTGAAAAACCAATTAGCGTTCTCTGATGGTATAATCTATTAAAGATTCTCATTCCCCTCTATTTGTTCGTCTCCTGGCTCTGCAGAGAGATATTTGGTATAACATTCTTGTGTGTTTTAGTTTAGGTCAGTCATATATTTTATGTTTATTAAAATAAAAGAGAGGTTCTAGTCTTAATTAAAAAAGGTTTCAGATTCACAATCTAATGTTATCTTATTAAAAAAATATCTTACAACTATGGCACGGCATAAAATGAATAAATATTTATCAACTCATATGTCTAGAGAAATAAAAAAAGAATTGATTATAATTACTGTTAGATTGTATTAAAACATTGTGTATGAATTATTTTTTTACTAATAATCATATTAAATATTTAAAAAGAAATCATGTAATTACATATGACCTATTGTCCTAATAAAGGTATTGATATGATTTCTAACTTAAATCACAATCTATTTATACAGTAGTTTGATACAAATGTAATCTCACTTTGTAGTAAAATGTGATACTATATGTATTAATGTAATTTATTATCATATAAGATTGTAAAATTCTACTTAAAATAAGATGATTGATGGTGAATAATTTTCTTCTTGATATGTACAATTCCCACCCATAACCCCTGCAAATCTTTGAAATAGATAAGCACCTAGATTGTGAGATTCTAAGAGCGCATTGCTGGTTTCAAATTAGCCGCCAGAGGCTCATTGGCATTGGCAAAGTCTCAACCTCTGACTTTGTGACATCCAGCAAAAAGCCACACTTTGCCCTCAATTTTTTTAGTATGAGGCATTTTACTCATCTTATAATTTATAATTTTTTACTTTTTTATTTTTTAAATTTATGATAATAAAACAATATTTAATATCGAAGGTCACGGGCAATTTGTGCATCATTTGAGGTTTTCACGTGAGATTTTTTTACACGTTGACAGTCCAACGTGGAAATTTTAATAAGAAATAAACTTGAAAACTAAAATATCATTTTCTTGCTTTTCCCTCCCTTCCTCTTCCCCTTCTCCCTCTCCCTGTTCTCCAATACTCACAGATCTAAGTGTGTGGCCAATGTTGTTCCAGCTGAGACCAAGGATTCACTGATCTGGGGTTGTAGGAGTTGATAGCAATGTTAGCAGGGTTGGATGAGTCCTTTGCCGTTGGCAAAAGACCTCACTTGAGCAACCAAAAAGTCCCTTGCAGTCGGAGTTGATTTGGGTTTTTAGTTTTTACAGCCTTTTCGAGTTTTGAATTTAAGTTTATGGGTTGTCTCTAGTTTGCCTAAACTCTATTTTTAGTGAAATTAGGAATTTTTTGAATTTAATGATAAATTCTTCCTATTTTGAAAATTCCTACTTGATCTATTAAAACCAAATCCACTTGATTTTTCTTCAATCTTTTTGGTTGCCTATTTGAATTGATTTGTTTCGATAATGTTTCGAGGGGCTTGACATTGAGGAGAAGATGGATTGATTCTGGGTAAGGTAGAGATGATCAAGAATGATGAGTTTTCTGGTGAAAATGGAGAAATTGGGATTTGACTAAATCTTGTTCTTGGGTTTATGATTCTGGGTTTGATTAAAACTTATAATTTTTCGCTAATATTAATCTGTAAGTGTGTTAAATCTTGGCTTTGATATTATTTGAATGTGTTTTCTATGTAAATAAACATAGGAATAATTTTAATTTGTTTGCTGGAGGACCAAGGTTGTCGAAGAAAGGAGAACTTGACAGAGGAGACAAAATGAAAGAGAGGACGAGAATGAGAGGGCAAATATGTAATTTAAAATTTATTTAGTTTATTATTAAATCCTTAATTAAATCAAGAGACAATAGTGTTAATTTTCTTTGACCAATCAACATGTGCCATGTAGACAATGGCCATATTAGAAAAAGGGTTATATTAAAATTTGGTTTTTTTTTGTTGAAAAAAAGTACATCATTGCACTTGGTTCAATAGTTAATGTTATTAAAAAAGTGTATATTCCTTTTTTTTAGCGGGTTTCGAATTCACTCCATAACAAAAAAATTCGAAAAAAATTCAAAAAAAAGAAAAAAAAGTACATTAAATGTAAACAGATTGTTGTTCAAAATATACATTCAGAGTGGTGTTTTTGAAATTAAGATTTTAATTTTTTTAATGAAGTCAAATAATATGTAATATTATCTTAATTTAATTACATATTTTATTTTAAAACTTTTTATTAGGGTTTTTTAATTTATGTTCTTATGGTGTATTAGTTAAATTTTTTTATAATTAATTTACATAAAAAAATTGATTTTAAATTTATGAAATACGTAATTAAA